CCCAAAGCATTCCACTGCATTCCAGTAGTACTCGGCATTTTCAGCGGGCATCCCGTCTGACCCACATCCTGACCCTAAAAATGCACCAAGGAATTCTAAAATAGCCATTAGGAAGGTGTAACAATACTCTAAAAGACACCAGAAAAGTCCTAAAAAGCCTTCAAATATCCCCTAAATATTCCTAATAGTCCTGCAAAAAAACACTCAAGGAAGCCTGCTCAGCCTCCAAGCCCCTTCCTGTTGGTCTCTGGCCCACAGATGTCATCCCTACCCTTTTGCAGCGGGTCCTGTTGTCCTCTGAGGGTTCTGGCATTGTCCTGGTGTGAGGGTCGCTGCCGTGTCCTGGAGGGAGGGTTCCGGTGTGCTCTCGCTGTTAGGCTTGCTGTGTTGCGCTGCTGTTGTTAGGGGTGAAAAGGGAAAAGGCTGCTTAGGGTGAGGTTAGGGCTGGGGTGAGGGGTGATGCACCTGTACCCTAACTTGCCTCCTAAGCTGTACCCTGTAGCCCTGATCTCCACTAGACTGTCCAGCCCTCAAACCCTCTCCCTTTACTCCTCAACCCCTCCCTGTGCCCCCCAGCCCTCAGGCTCTGTGTGTCACCCTCGAGCCCCCCTTTGCCCCTCAAGCCCCCTCTCAGCTGCCCCTCAGCTCATGTGTGCCACCCTTAATCCCTCTCCTTTGCCCCTCAGCCCCCAGCTTCTCTGTGTCACCCTCCAGCTGCTGCTGTCCCCCTCAGCATCTCTCTGTGTCACCCACTGTCCCCTCCCCCTGTTCCTCCCTCAGCTCCCAGCCTCTGTCACCCTCAAGCCCACACAGTGCCCCTCAAGCTGCCCCTCAGCCTCTATGCCATGAAAAGACCCTAAAAAACCATAAAAACACCCTAAAAACCCCTCATCTTCAAAATTTCTTAAAACCCCCACAAAAACATAAAAATAGCCTCAGAATACCCTTAAAATACAATAAAAATACCCTACTTTGAAAAACCCCTAAAGCAGCCCTAAAAATCCCCAAAGAACCTTTAAAAAAATGCTAAATATTCTTAAAAGAGCTCTAAAAACAGCCCCAAAATCCTTAAAACACACTGATAAGACCCTAAAATCCATTAAACTTCCCTCAAGAAACCTAATAATACCCGAGTCCTAGGAGTCCTTCACATACCTCCAATAGTCCTAAAAAAGCCCTAAACAATTTTAAGTAGTCCTACAAAAACCCCAAGAACACCCCCCCCCAAAAAAAAATCCTTAAAATTCTAATTAGTACTAAGAAAGCCCTTAAAATACCTTAAAAAAAAATCTTTTTAAAGCCCTGAAAAAGTCCTAAAAGTATCCTAAATGTTCCCAGAAAGTTCCTAAAAAGCTCCTGTGAGAAAACCCTCAAATATCCTTTAAAAACACTAAAAAAAAAGAAAAAAAAAACCACTAAAAAAAGTGCTCAGTCCCCAGGCTCTACCAGTCACTCTCTAGCCAGCAAACATCATCCCTACCTTTTAATTAAAGTCACTGCCTGCAGCTGCTGGGGGGGTTCTGGGGCTGTCCCAGCATTAGGGTCACTGCCTGTAGCTGTTGTTGGGGAAAACTGGTGTTCTAGGGATGCTGATTGGGGTGAGCTTAGGGCTGGGGTGAGGGCTGCTGGTAAGCCTTCCCGGTACCCTATGTCCTGTCCTTTGTACCCCTAACCCTCAGTGTCAGCTCTGCACTTGTCAAGTCCCCCCTATTTGCCCCTCAGCCCACAATGTCTGTGTGCCACCCCAAGCCCCTGACACCGTCCCTTGGCCCCCTAACCTCCACCGTGCACTCCCCACCCAGGGAGGGGTGGTTTTTAGGGTGAGGTTAAGGGTGGTGTGAGGGCTGGTTCACCTGTCACCCTCAGGTACCCCCCACTTTGTCCTCAAGGCACCCCCTGCCTCTCAACCTCCTTGTGTCACCCTCCATTCCCCCACTGCAGCCTCTCAGTGTCTCTGTGCCACCCTGGAGCCCCCCTTTTAACTCCTACAGACCCCTTCTGCCCCTCAGCCTCCTTGTGTCACCCTCCAGCTCCCCACCGCAGCCTCTCAGCATCTCTGTGCCCCCCGTTTTACTCCTAGAGACACCTTCTGCCTCTCAGCTGCCCCCACCCTCTGTGCCACCTCCAGCCCCCTGCCCTCATCCCCAGGTCCCTTTGTGACACCGTGTAGCCCACAGATGTCATCCCTGCCTGTTTTATTTCGGTGTTGTCCTGCTGTGAGGGCTGCACTATCTCCACAAGTTTGGGCTCCCATGTGGTGCTGCAGGGAGCCACAGGTGGGCGGTGGGGGGAGTGCAGGATGGGGCAGGGGCAGGATGGGAGAGGGGTGAAGGGTGAAGAGAGAGTAGGACGGGGGGGCTGGAAGTACAGATAGGGGTGAGGGGGGGAGACAGAGACAGAGAAGAACAGGGGTGAAGGGAGAAGGTGAGGGTAGGAGGGGGCACCACATATCTGACAGACAAAAACTGCAGCAGAATAAATTTCTGGTTGCCGAGGCAATGTCAAACACCTGCTGCAAACCGACATAAGGAACCCAGGGAAAAGGGCCGCTGTTTGTGCTTGGGGGCCTGCGACCCTGAGGTGGCGACTGCCTGCAAAAAATCTGAATGGCAAGGGATGTGTCCCAGACCCAAGCTGCCCCTGCCTCAAAGCCTTACCCTAAACTGAACCGTAAATCCTAATCGAAACGCAAGCCCTAACCCAACCCTAACCTCAAATAAATCTAATAATAATAATACCCTTAAAATTAAACGTAAAAATAACAACATCCGGAGAAAATGGCGGCGCCCACGGCATCACGTGACGGAGCAAAGATGGCGACGCACCGGATATTACATCATAAATATGGCGGCGCCCATACTATCACGTGTCGGGCAAGATGGCGGCATACACAGATCACGTGATGTAGCAAATATGGCGGCCCCCACTGCATCACGTGGTGGGAGCAAATATGGCTGCGCCTATAACGTCACGTGAAGGGAAAATGATGGCGGCGCCCATGTAGCCATGTGACGAGGTCAAAGATGGCGCCGACCACTGATTCAAATATGGCCGCGCCCTGAGAATCACGTGATGGGGCCAAAGATGGCGGCTTTCGGGACGGGGTCGATTTTGGCGGTTTTTGGCGGTTTTTTGTGTGCCCTCCGCACGCCCTGCGTGCCGTGGTGCTGTTCCGGTGCACCCGCACCGGAGGACGCCGCGCGGAATTGTTTTTGGAGTGCGGGATTGGTGTCGGAATTTCGGACAGGCGGCTGTAGGGGCGGCTAATGCTTGGGGTCTTTTCTGAGGCACTGGGGGCGGTGCGAGGGGAGGGGTCGGGGCACCGACGCGGTGACGTCACGCGGTGACGCGACGCAGGGGCGGGCCGGAGGGAGGAGTGGGTGCAGTGCGCGAATTCCACCGGCAGGCGGCGCTGCGAGACCGAGGGGTGGGCGCGCTGCCGGCCGGCGGCCGTGGGGGCAGAGCGCCTGTTTGTGCAATTCTATCCTTGTGATGTTGATTTATTAAAATAAAAATGTGGATATTGATCTACTACCGATATCCAACTGTGACAGACAAAAACTCTCTAACAGTTTGAAGTTAGAAAGTGTATGTTTATTCGACACCCAGCAGCATGTGGGATAGTTCCCAAGTACACACCGCACTTTCCAAGTGATTAAAGAGCCCTTTTGTCCATACAAGTACTGAATACCGAAAATACAAATACATATTCATTTTGGTACATCACATTCCTTGCTTCATATATTAATCATTTCAAAAGCTATTAAGCATGAAGTTTTTTTCCTGAAATGGGTCAGTGGTCCCTTTTGTGGGGATGACTCCCAAAATGTGGAAGTAAATGAAGTCTTCCTCGTTCTGGCCTTTCTACCATTTCAATGCAAATATGACAAATGAACTCTTGTTAGAACTCCCATTCCTTGTCTTCATTTGATTTCAGAACAGAGGAGGCCCACAATTGTCTTACGTTCCTAAAAGCTATTTGTCAGTTTCTATATTCTTCATTATAAACCCAGCTAACTAAACATTGTGCTGACAAGCAATCAGTTAACTACTAACTCCTAACTTTATCAAGGCCTACTCATTTATTTTAATTAGCTCTAGTAAGGCTTGTCTCTAACTAAAATCTTAGCTCCTCTAACATCTCTATATCCCTTAAAATTTATGTTTCAATGTGGTTAACTCTTGGTTGTATCATTATTTGCCTGGTGGGGTTGATGGGAGTACTGGTGCCATGGTTGCTGCATATTGCTATTGCTACCTGCCAGCTATATCGCTAATTAGGGGCCCTATATCTATTAGGAAAAAGAAGAAAAACTGTATGTCTGGTGCAGCAGTAGAAAATTTCAGGCTCCTGCGGAGTAAGTAATTTTCTTTAAATAATTTTTTAAAGGTTTGGTTGGTTTGTTTTTTTTTCCCTCCCAGGGAGCCTGAAAGTTTTTACTGCTGCTTTCTTAAAAGCTAGAAAGGAAAGCCGAGTTAGAAACAAAGGTAGAAATAGAGAGAAGCAAAGGGTTAAAAAAAGTTGAAGTTGGAGAGGAAAAGAGAGATGGGAAAAAAAGAACTAGGAAAACAGTGGCAAACAGTGAAAAAAGAAAGAGAATGAAAAATGAGAAGGGTTACAGTGAAAAAGAAAAAGAAAGAGTGAGAGTAAAAAAGAGGAAAACAAAGAGTTAGAGAGAAAAAGAAATAAAGAGTAAAGTATCAACTATAGGGAGAAAAATAAGTAGCTGGAAATGGAAAGGAAGAAGGAGGGAGGGAGAGAAGGAAGAGGGAGGGAGGGAAGAAGGAAAAAGAAATATAAGGATATAGAGAAGAAGAGAGACAGAGTTAGAAACAGTGAGAAATAGAAACACAGAGTTAGGGACAGACAGAAATGAAGTCAGAGATAGAAAAGTAAGATGAGAAGCAATGGAAGAAATACAATGAAAAAAAATTACTAAACCACACCAAAGAAAGACAGGAGCCAAAGCCAGAAAGTGAGGGAGCAGGGGCATCATTACTAGGGTTTATTCAAATTTATTGAATTAATTTTTTTATTTACATTTCAACGAAACACATGGAAACAATGGATACAAATGCAAGCACAGATACAATCCATATACATGCATATATACAGTACATAGAAATGCAGCAGCAAATGCAAATACAGAACAACACAGGGCAATAGAAACCAAACACATTAACACAATGTGATCTTTTTTCTATTTTCATTACATTTTGTTTTATTGTTAGAGGAAACCCAGAACAAAGATTACACACACAAAACAACACTCACCCACCATAAGCACCTCCTTCACATTACACACAAACTCACCATTGCTCTCATCTCAACTGCTCCGTTACACCCCAGGAATCATTGTTCCTCGGGAACATGGCTCTCGGGAGCCTCCAAAAAATCCTCCTGCCTGACAAAAACCCCTGTCCTGGGCCAGTCCGTATCCAAACTTTGGCGATGAACGTCGCCTCGCAGACTGGCCAGGACCAAGGGAAAAAAACCCCATCTGGGGGAGAAAAAAAAAAACCAAAATGACAGCTGGGGATTTTTTATTCTAAATTTAAAAATTAGTTAAAAAACCTGAAAGACAAAAGTCATACACACAACATTAGAACCGGTCAACATACGCTCAGACCTGCAGACAAGCACACACAAGCTCTCACAGACACAGACAATCACACTCTCTCACACACTCTTCTGCTTACACACTGACTGCCACCCTTACTTGTAACACTACGCTGAAGAATATCCTTCAACACATCATCTGACTACAGCTCCTCAATGTCAAATGGTAGACTCCAGGAAAATGTGTAGGGACCCGGGGACCTGCGAGACAATGGGAGGTGGTCAACGACTGACTATCTGACAGCTAGGAACTAGTCCCACTCCAGGCCCAAAAATTTTGTACCCAAAACCCCATAGAAGACAGATGAACTGCAAAGTCTTATAACTGCTCTACCTAAGCATAACTGAGTGCCCGGGCAGGGCAGCTCCTATCATGATTGGCACAACAGAGGCGCATACAACATAAGCCAAGGTAGGTACATACAATGTGAGTACGCACAATATAAGCCAACATAGGTACACAGAGTATAGGTACATACAATATAAGCACATACAGTATAAGCCAACAGAGATACAATATAAGTGAGAACTTGACATAACTCTCCAGAAGATTAATTCTTGAGCCCTATACCCTTGGAGAAGGTGGAAGCTACAGAACTACTGCAGTCACGTGATGAGGGTCTAATATGCTCCCTATAGAAGACCAAGAGAATGGCACTGGGATGAAAAGGCACTACCAAAGTTGAGAAGGAAGATGGATGAGAACATCTCGTGTATGTCTTCCTGTCCCAAAAAGTAAAAATGTAAAGATGCCGGAGTAAGTGATATCCGGGAAGGTACGCAAGTAAAAGACGGCCAATATGGCACAGAATGATGATGCTAAAGCATGGGGATGTAACAAAGGCCTATGACACAGAAATCAGCATGGGGATGTAACAAAGGCCTATGACACAGAAATCAATGGACACAGACACCGTAACACAGACGCGGACACCATAACACAGACACAAGTGGAAACTGCCTGGCAGTTTCACCTTATGGACCCAACATTCCTAGCCCAAGATGAGCCATGGGCTGATGATGCCAAAGGAAAGAAAGCCCTAGGGCACTAGCACATGATGATGAAATGTAACTCCTTTCAAGATGTTAGTGCCAAAGCACTTAAGAGGAAGCCTAAGAAGCACAGTAGGCCTAAAGAAAGCAATGACTACCGGGTGACTGTAGCTACAGCTCCAGACGTGAAGGCGGGCTCCTCGGGTGAAAAGATCCACGACGACGTCAAGAGTCTAAGCAGGCCGCCGATGTGAACCTCACGAGAACGCGGAGATGGATTGGAACTGCCCTGCCCGGCAAAGATTCTAGTGGGGCTGAGGAGAAACCCTCTCCCTTTGCTTCCGAGGGACCCGTCCCACTACGGGCCTCTCCTCTAAGCTAACATCAAATTGCCTCCTGTGATAGTAATAGTTTTTCCCCTTCTCCCACCTATTGGCGCCAGCACTTAGCTTTTGCAAGATGACCAGATGGAATCCAATGTCAGTTGGACATGGACGACGAGACATTCTCTACCTCCACTTTGGTGCTGCTGTTTCCAAACTTCAACTACGCGATGCCTCACGGTACCTAAGACAAAGCAGAAAATGCAATTAGCACCCTCCAAAAGAGGAATCCCCGGAACTCTGACACACCACTGCCCCAGCTCATCTGAAATCTTGATTTGACTCCACAGGCTGCTCGGAAGATACCTGCAAAATAAAAAAGTACAAGCTTAGCATGCTGCTGCGTAACAGTCACCTATGAGTCACTCTGCCTAAATGCCGACTCACCCGCTCACCTCAGTTCCTTCTCACAGCCAGGGCAGTGGACAGCACCTGCAAAGAAACAAAGCAAAAAAACCCACACTGAGATACTGTGAAAACACCACCACCCTAACCTGACAAGTACGCCCACCTGTACCTGAGGCTTCTACCCACCTGGCCTCAGACATCTGGGACCAGAGACATATTGCAAGAGGACTGCCTAAAATTCAAAAAAAAACCAATAGTGGATGCTTAGAGTTTCACCAGAAATTGCAAACTGAGCAAAAACAACCGCTTTTGTCTGCTGCTCAATGCTCACCGCGCCCACTTCAGCATGACTGCTGCTATCCCATATAACTTCATAAAAATAAGGACAAAGAACAGTGCTGTAACACTTGTGTTTGCTTCACGTGCAAAAACAAACAGCGACTGACGTTCTCAAGGAAACCTGCTGAACGGGGATGGAGCAGTCTGCTATGAATTGAGACCATCTGAATCTGAAAGAAAGTTAGGACTAATGTCAAACAGCTGCAGGACAACTTAACAGAACCAAACATGTTATGTCAACCTACTAATATAATCTAGAGCCCAACTATACCCTGCATTACCCTGCAAGGACTTGTTCTATTGCAGGCTATGCAGCAGGGCAGAGGAGCTCCAGGACAGATATGTGCAGACACAGGACAGGACATGACAAACAAGGGGACACAACAGAGAGAGAGAGCTCTCAGCCAGAAGAATGCCTGCAAGGACTGAGAGATTGCAGAACGAGATGACCTAGGTGAGACTGACGGCTCAGAGCCCATGAGGCTCAGAGAACCCTGCAGGAACAAGATGCTAACAGAATGATTTATTCGGAGAACCACGAAGATCAGTGCCCAAGAATCTCATGTAAAAAAGGCTCTTGCTAGCTTCACATTCTTACAAGTCCTGACCTGATATAACGGACCATTGTGGTGTGCAGCTGTGAACACAGCTCAGAACAAGACCTTAAAAGACATCTGACTGGATGCTTCTAAAGAGAGATGCAATTCAAATGCCTGTCTGACCTCCAGAATCAAGAGTCCTATTGCACTGGTGCCCGTCCAAGGAACGCAGATATCAGATACCACGAATGACAGGAGGGTTTCTGACAGGCCCTCAAAGGGGCAAGGTAAAAGCCATATGACATGATATACCCAAACACACAGAATGCACAATAGACAAGTGACACAACACACACCAGAACTGCTCTGCCCTGAGCACCTCAGCACTGTGATCAAAAGAGACTCTTTCCCTTTAGGTGGCCTAAGGGGACACTTCTTGCACATACCTGCCACCAAAGCTGATTCAAAAAGCCCTCCCAGCACTTCGCTTTCATCCTCTCTATGGTTCATAGCCCTCGACTTATCTCTTGGACATCTGGGGATGAGAATCCACGTCAGGTATGAAGGAAGGTCACCTCGCCCGCTGGGAATTTCCTGTGGTCACCGGGCTGTGGTCCCTTGCTTAGCTACAATCAAGAACACCAAACATCACTGCATGATCTTAGCTGCACAACAGACAAAACCCAGCAATTCTGATACTCACCATCCTCCTAAGAATGCCCAGGTGCTTGGGCCACACGCTCCGGCCTTGCTCAGAGGCTGAGGCCATCATCACAGGGTATGCCTAGGTTAAGAAGAGACAAAGTGATGTGGCATTGCTGAAACCTAAGTGGACCCTGGCTCCTCCTCCCGATCTCCCCGGCCACTGCCAAAGTTTACCCAGATGCCACCTTGAAATAATAGATTTCAAAGCTCCATCACAGAGTCCTGAAATATTTCCAGACTGCTCACAAGCACAGGAAACCTGGTCCACCAGCTGGTTGGTGATGGGGGCTTGGCATACTCCGAGTGGATTGCCTAAAACACACAAATGAGAATGGAGGCTTAAAGATGCACCAGAAATTGAGACCTGAGTGAGAACAACTGCTTCCACAACCCATCACTGCTCACCTTGACTGCCAACATCTGGATTTAATTCCTAAAAGTAAAGACAGAAAACAGTGCTGTAACACAGAGTCACCATTTACACTTCCACTGCAGAGACAAATGGTGACTGACCTGACCAGGGAACCCCCTTCTCCAGGGATGGGGCATTCTGCCATGGATTTAAACTGCCTGCATCTGAAAGAAAGTTAGGACAAAAGTCAAATGGCTGCAGGATAACTTAACAGATCCAGACACCTTCTGTCAATCCAGGAATACCATCTAGAGTCCAACTCCACCCTGCATTACAAAAATTCAAGTCCCCGGGGCTTGCCCCATCACACTAGGCTATGCAACAGGGCACAACAGCTCCAGGACAAATATGTGCTTACACCCGTGACACAGGACCGGACATGACAAAAGAGGGGATGGTAAAGACACGCAACACATTATGTTAACAAGATTGTGACAGAAGGACAATAAAAATCTTCCTGGCAAGAAGAATAATGGCAAGGACTGAGATGATGCCAAAAGAGATGCCCGATGCTATGGCAACAGTGAATGGCAGAGGCTCTAGGGAGAAAAAGAGAAGACTGTAACAGAGTGACCTGTTAGAAGAACTGTTGGTCACAATGATTGAAATGACCATGAGACAATGCTACATTTAGAATGCTCTCCGTATCCCTGCAAACTTTTAAGTGCCAGGACATTACAACTCATGGCTGAAAAGGATGGATGGTGATACTGCTGGAAGCAAGGCCTCAAAAGTCATCTGACTCGATGCTTCTGAATTGCGACATGGAAACACGGCCGAGCCCGCGGGGAAAAGAACGAACTGCCGAGAAGCGTGAGCGTTCGAGAACCTAGAGATCGTGGCTGATGCTTGCGGTAAGGCCCTCGAGGAGAAAAGGCAGAGATACCCGATCTGAGGCACCCCGACGGCACGCTAGGAAACACAGTATACCGGACAACACAACACAGACTGGAACTGCTCTGCACTGCACACCCTACATCTGCAATCAAAAGTAGGGCCTCTTCCTTTAGCTGCCCTAAAAGCCCCTTAGAGGATATCCCTTTCCCCTCTGCTAATTTTTAAATCTGTCCCAGGAATTTACAGTCCTCTACTACATGATCATCCCATCTCCAGGCTGTGGCCCCCAGCTTATCTTTTGGATGACCGGCGACATGAATCCACGTTGGACCTGAAATGAGTCAGCCTCAGAAGGCCTCGTGATTGCTGGTTATTGTCTCAGTGAGCTACAATAAAGAACACCGAAATCAATGCATGACTGTAGTGTTATGCGGGCCAAATCCCAGCAAGTCAGCTACTTGACCTCTCCTAAGTATGCCTAGGTCCTCAAGACTCCAGCTTCATCCTGAGTCTGAGGCTATAGCTGTTATGACTAGCACCTGGGTTAGAGAGAGCCAAAGTTACACGGCATTTCTGAGTGCAGTAAGTGAGCTGGGGTGGTACAAGACACATGAATGCCTCTGCTATGCTTGTCAAAAACCTTGGGGTGCCCTCAAATAGACACCATTTCTCACCCTGCTGCCTTCAAATCCCCCCCCACCTAATAACTCTTAACCCGACACCTACTTACCCTCCCTCTCCGGGTCACAATCCTCAGCTTTACTCATCTGAAGCCTCAATCTCAAACATGATCTTCAACTCAGAGCAGATCCCTGTAGTGACATGATGAAGCTGCTGAAAAAATCTGAAGTGTCGCACTTGACACAGCCTGGAATTTCAGGAAGTTGTGCTCCTTGTAAAAAAAAAAAAAAAAAAAAAGAACAAACCCAGAAATTACAAAAGCACCTAATCACCCCTGAACACACAACCCAAAATCATGAATTTAAATACTCCTTGTGTTCAATTCTGTATTCTTCACAGTATGTTCAAAGACCCTGTTGCTTCAGATGCCCAAAAGCACCTGCTGAAAACAAGCTGAAATAGCTATAAGACCTTCTTCACTGAAATGAAAGACCTCTTACCCCAGTGGTTCCCAAAGACGGAATGAAGCCCTTTAGTAAAGGCTGGGGTTAATATACCCCTGATTGGGCCTGCCTTTTGTTCCAATGATGCTCGGGAAAAGGGAGGGGGCAAATCCCATAAAGTAGAAAAGCCCTCAGAGGAGCTGCAGATGTTTGGCTCCTCTGACTTGAATTCAAGGGGAGTAAAGGGATTGATCTTCAAGGAAATGACGATGTGGTTTTTTTTTTTGTTTGGTTGGTTTTTTTTTTTGTTTTTTTTTTTGTTACCGCTGCTTTGAGCAAAAGGCAGAAAACCAGTAAGAAACAAAACTTTGTGTTTAAGCAGCATAGCTAGTTAAGTTGGGTAACTCGTTGATAGCTTACATAATTATTCCTTAGTGACTACTAAGTAGTATTCCACATATGACTAAGTAGGGTGGAGAACAATACTAATGATATGAATGGTCCAAGTCTCCTTGGGACCTTTAATTAGGGCTATCTATATTATAAATATAAATAAGAAAAATAATAGACTACTGGGCAGCATCAGGGTTAAGTACAGGCCTGGACTGCCCTTGTCTGAGATATTTAGTTCCAGGGCAGATAGAAGTGCTCTGAAATGCAGTTTTAAATCCTTAAAATGCTGAAAAAGACAGAGCTTCCATCAGGTGAATCCCTTAAAACAAGGAAATTAGGCATTTACCTCCATTTAAACTAATGCAATGGCAAATAAATGGCTTCTGTCCTTTAATTTAATCCCCTAAAATATTGGGAAAAGAGGGGTGTTGCTCATTTTAAATCTCTCCAGTGATGAAACAACATAGGGACAGCTGTCTTCCCCCTCAATTTAAGCCTTAGGACAACAAAAAGGGGCAGTGACCCTTAATTCAAACCCATAAGAAAGCACTGCCAAGGTTTCCCCCTTCTATTTAAAGTGGAAAACAATGAAAAAATGGGACTTGCCTGTCAGAAAGCATGCACCCTTGAAGGTAATTTCTACATTACTGAGTGGAATTACACACAAAAGGAAAAAATTCAGAACACAATTGCATAGTAAAGAATCATTCCTTTAAAGTTGTCTTCAATATAAACTGAACATAGTCTGTAACTACCAAAATGTCAAATGAAAGTCACCTTAAGCAGCAATTTCATAGACAATTGCATTAGGTATTTCTTAATACAACAATCCGCTAAGAAAAATGATCAATAGAAAAATGATGGGTTGTATAAAACTTTCTTTCAAGTTGATTTGCAATACATCCTGTTCATCCCTACCTGCACAATCCAGAAACGACACCTTTTCCTCCCAGTGTAAATTACTACGGCAAAACCGGCACAGAAAACAGCATGAAGATATCAAACTTGCAAGATAAGGCTGCCGAAAAACTAGAAAACAAGTTTTTTTCATTACAGTGCCACTACAGCTTTTATTTAACCAGGCGAATACCAGCAAACTTTTGTCAGCTCCCTCACGGCAGCAGCACTCCAGTCCTCAGTTCTCCTTCAGCAGCTGAAGGGGAGCATTGCCTTCGTGGACCGTGTCTGAGTCCACGATCTGGCCGGAGCGAACTGCTTCCAGTCGCTCGTCGGTCTCTCTTTTCCCTCTGAACACAAACCATAGCAACAGCCCCGTGCCTAGCACACTAAGAGGCAGCACCTTCACCGACGGCCTCTCGTGGTCGCTCCCCATCGACCGGCTAACGCTCCAAAACCGCGGACTGGCCTTGCTACCGGAGAAGGGAATGGGCCCCCCGCCCTCCGGGTTCCGCCGTCGGGCCATCCCCCGCCGAGCCGCGGGCAGACCCGGGGCTCGCCACGCCCTGCAACGACATCTGCGTGAGCGTCGCCGAGGGCTCACGTAGCGTCCCGGCCCCGGCCCCCATCCTCACCGCCAGCGGCCCCGGCCCCGGTCCCCACCCCAGTCCCCGTCCTCACCGCCGGCCCCTCTCCTCACCACCAGCGACCCAGCGCCCACATCACCCCGCGCCTTACATGAGCGGCGCGGAAGCGCGAGGGCTCGGCGGGCGGGGCAGCGGCTCAACGCAGCTGCCGCCGTGAGGGAAGGCCGAAAGGACCCTGGGCTAAGGGGCTCGCGAACCGCACCACGTGAGGCTGCACAGTGACCGCAGATGGCGTGCTCAGCGTTCACCGACTGCTACAGTGATGCTTCCTTCCAGAATTTGTGTTGGAAGGGTCCATTTTATTCCGTATTAGGTACAGAGAATTGCCAGATATTTCCTCAACACATCTATACTTTTGTAACAATTCAGTGATTTCATTGCACCTTTATGTCACATTCTGACCCCAACTTCTATTTAACTTGCCAGCCAAAGACGACATCGACCTTTGAACACAAATCGGTGGAGTGGTGTGGTGTGGTCTGCACTGCTGTGGCAGAAAACGTTTCTTTTTCTGCTAAAGTGTGCCGAGAAAACTTTTTAGCATATACATGAAATAGCATGTTCTTAACACTGTATTTAGTACCTTCCTTAAAATACCTTGCAGCACTGGTCTTGAGCTGGTTTGTATTCACTCCAGTTTCTACCACACTTGATCAATAAAAATAGCAAAAGCTGGGACTAGGCACACGGAATCTATAAGCTCGTGCCAAATACTGGTCTTAGCAAAGAAGTGTTACAAATGTTTCAGAAACTACCAAACTATTCTCATAATAGTGTGCCCCCACTCTACTATACTGTGTTTGCTTTAGGGCAGAAATTGAAACAAAGTCAAGAATACTCACAAGAAGGTAAATCATCTTTGTGGTATAATACATGTTCAGTTTAATTTACATTCTGTACCACCCAAGTTTCTTCATAGAGTGTAATTCCAAATTCCTGTATTGCCATGCAGGTGCTCATCATCCTTTGACCCATTAAGAACTGATGCCACTGCAGTTGCCAGTTGGTGACTTACATACTCAACACTGGTATTTCCAGCTGTAAAATTTAGTTTTTTAATATGACATCACTTATTTTGGCTTTTAAACATCAAAACATTTTTGTCACAGAATTCACTGAACAATTTTGAAATGTAATCTACAGTAAACTGAATTCTGCTTTTGATTATAGAGTGCTAATCTGCAATAATTAAAAGAACTACTGCAATAATAAACTACCAAACAGGCAGAATATAATATGCAAAATGCATCGCTAATAGTTTGAATGTGCAGATAATATGTTCTACAAAATTTTTATATGAGTTTTTTTCTAGAAAAGTTTCTCAAAGCAAAAAGAAAAAAATTGTGTCACTAATTTTAAGCTAATTTAATTAGCTCAAAGGTTCTTTGTTTTGTTGAAGTGCCAATTCTGAACATACAGTCTGTAAAACAAAAGATATATGTATTTATGTATATACATGTCTTTCCGGACATTAAATTCTCCTTTGACAAATAGTTCATGTAATAAAGGCCATCATGGTCTGGAATGAGGGAAAACAAACAAACAAACAGAAAACCAAACTACAAACCTCTCCCCCCAAAAAAAAAAAAAAAAAAAAAGAAAAAACAACTTGTCTGGAATTAACCCAGATAAACCGTGGCCCTTCACAGCCAGCACTAGTCTTTCCTGCTAAAAACTGCATGTGGTATGGTACTTACCTAACAGAAATCAAAGAGAGGCAAAAAAGAAACAGGCAACTTGAAAAAGGGAAAAAGCAATACAAAAATATACAGAGAAAACTTCAAGTGTTAGGAAAGAAATCAGGCCTTGTGGTTAAAATACAAAGTGGAGTTACTTAACAGACACATTTGTGCTATTATTGATGTAACATAAATTTCTTTTTAAATTGGCACCTTAAAGACTGGAGACAAACTTCAGTTACAACAGCAGTCAAAAATTTTCTATAAAGCTAGAATTTCAAGTCATCAACAGATTTTTTGAGGACAAAGTAAGTCCTTGTGCACAGGAATCAAAACCTAAGTATTTATTAAAAATTTTGTCTACTGAATTTTACCTCCATATATGCAAGATTGTTTAATTGTTACTGATACTGAAAACAGCATTGGGGTATTCACATTCTGAGCAGACAACAATGTAAAAGAATGATACCACAAAAACTCACCAGAATTTCCTTTGTATGCAATACCATGCTGGCCTAATAAAATTCTAAGATTTTTTATTTCTTCAGAAAGTTGCTTGTATTCCTAAGAAAGAAAATACATTAAAAATAGCCCCCCCACTTTTCAAATACATACCTAGATTGGAAGCTTTTAAGAAAAAAATGCCTCTGTGCACAGCTGTTACACCTTTTGGTTTGAAGAACTTAAAATGTTCTTCCAAGAACACAGAGTAAATTTTAGAAAAAGATACATGTCTGTGTTGCCAAAAGAAGAGCCAGCTTTTTTCAAGCCCAAGAGTAAAAATTAGAAATGCTTTCTGCAACTATTTAAAATCAGTCCTGTAACTAGCATTTTATCATCAAGCAAATCTTAAATTTGCTTCAGGACTACCCTTATTTTATAATAATCATAATTCTGCAATCTGGAAATTTATCAACTCCTCAGCTCTTGACCTAGTAATTTCATGTTCTTGCTCTCAGCAGTTTGTTATCTTACAGAAAGGGGTTGCCTAGTTCTTTTGAGACTCAAAGCACGTACTGCAGAGAAAATCAGAGAAGCCCTTATTTTTTTACTGTGTTTTGGTGTTTATATGAATAAAGATAGAGCAAAAGAATAAGTATTTAAGATTCTATGTTTACCAAACCAGCCAATTTATGTCACTTAAGTTATGATGAAGCCAGAAAAAGAAATAGAAATTATTAAATACTGCTTTGTTAATGAGTGAAAAAAAAAATAGTCACGTGACTGTTCCAGCTCTTGTGGGATCAAAATGGTGATTTTTATATTAAAGTATATTCAGCTTAACTATGGTTTTATTTGGTTATATTAATGAATGACTACATGGTGGTTTGTCTTTGCTACATTTTTTGAATAAAAAGACAACAGCAACTGCTTCTCTGCATTATAATGAATGAATTCCCATCCATGCTCTTTTTCTGACGGTCGGGTTGCGCTCTTTTAGGCTGAGTACACCTTCTACTTCTATTTTCCCCATTCCAACTCTGTTGCATACACGAGTCATTCAGAAATAAACACAGCCATTCTGCCTTTTGCTTGTGCAACTGCCAGTGCATTCTTCCACAAGTCTGGGTAATTATCCACTGAGATTATTAAGAGTGTCAACATTCTCGAGGTTGGTTACGCATTTATCTTCACTAGTAATTCCTTTCTGTCTCTAGACTGATATTCCCCAGAAAGACTACCTACACCTATGGTGTTCATAACCCAAGCGCATACACCAATTTTTTCATAACCCTATCTTCTAACTGGGCATTCATTTTTGCTGGTTTGTTTTTGACTTAGGGGCTGTAAAAAAGATACCGAATCACACTACATGCAGACTGTTACATATTGAAACCAGAAAAGAAAACCCCATAAGGAGATTCAACTGAACACCAAAGGCATTTACATAATGCTCTCCCACTGATACTATCATATAGTGAAAAGGTGGCAATTCCACATTGTAAATATTATGCTCTATACCTTACTGCACTTTTCCACTGTTTCAAATTCCAGAGTTGTTTTCTTACTCTGTTTTTCAACTTCATTTTCTTCTGTTGCTTTTAGAAGTCCCGCTTCCTCAAAAATCTCTTTCAGAATATTTTTGTAACCCTAGAAAATAAAGTTTCCAAAAGATGATAGATCAATCTATTCAACTCTCATCTCTGCTTGTAATTTTTACTGGCCATTCCAAATCCTCAATCTTTATTACCAGTTCATATAGCAGTTACAGAACATGAAAATTACTATTTGCCAACTGCAGAATAAATGCATCTACTCCAAAAGGAGAAACTACAGAAGCCAGGTTTGGCTATTTGACAGTAATTTTTTTTTTTTTTTTAAACCAAATAGAGTTGGAAAGAATTGGCTATTTGACAGTAATTGTTTTTTGGTTTTTGTTTTTTATGTTTTTTTTTTTACCAAATAGAGTTGAAAAGAATTAATAAACCTGGTCAGTTATTAGTTCATCGTACAGAAGCTGCTCTGCTTCATCCCACTTCCTTTGCAGTGCTTCAGTCAGAGTTGGATAAACTGAAAAATGGAAGTCAAACCATGTAAAAACCAGGTGCACTATCCTGCATTAGTTAATTCCTCCTCTAGTATCATGCAAGAATATTTGTTTTAAGAACCCTATGTTTTTATACACTACACAGTCTCTACTGCTTTCAAGAGCTGGGCTTGCACATAAATTGCACTTCACACATTTAAAATTTCTGGAGAATGATCACAAATTTTTCTTACTTCCAGATCCAAGGCCTCATATTCCTATGCTCAATGTAATTCTAATGGAGCTTTTTTGTAAAGTAAGTAAATGGGCAGATACTACAAGACTTATTCCTACATTCCAAGAAAAGAAAATTAAAAAAAAAATCATTCACTGGGTCTACACTAGCAATAACAAAAAGAATTACAATCTCAGATAAAAAA